TGGCTCGGTGGTTAGCACCGTTGCCTCGCAGCTAGAAGGTTGCCAGTTCACGTCCTGGTTAGGACGCCGGGATCTTGCCTGTTCTCGATTTGTTCATTAGTTAAAATCTCAACATTTTGCTCATGTTTGTTCTTGCAGCCTCTGTATTGAAAAAAAATAAAATTCACGTCAGACTCTGAAGAATTTTTCCTTGAAAACCTTTTTTAAAGAATCCAAATACTGAGCCGCAAGGCGAAGCTCTTGATTTACCAGTCCATGTACGCCCCAACTCTCACCTGTGGTCACGAACTCTGGGTCGTGACCGAAAGAACGAGATCGCGGATACAAGCGGCCGAAATGAGCTTCCTCTGCAGGGTGGCCGGGCTCAGCCTTAGACATAGGGTGAGGAGCTCGGACATCCGGAGGGAGCTCGGAGTAGAGCCGCTGCTCCTTCGCATCGAAAGGAGCCAGTTGAGGTGGTTTGGACATCTGGTTCGGATGCCTCCGGGGAGGCTTCCTCTGGAGGTTTTCCGAACACGTCCACCTGGGAGGAAACCCCGGGGCAGACCCAGAACCCGCTGGAGGGATTATATCTCTTGGCTGGCCTGGGAACACCTCGGGATCCCCCAGGCAGAGCTGGAAAGTGTCGCTGGGGGGAGGGAAGTCTGGAATGACCTGCTCCGCCTGCTGCCCTCCCAACCCAACCCCGGATAAGGGGAAGATAATGGATGAATGGAAATACGAAGACAAGAAGCGATTTTTGACGACACCTTTGCCTGATCAACACTGGCCCATGGCCGGCAGACTGAGTCACATCACTCTTCCCTAGAGCAAGCTATTCAGGGACCAGCTAGAGTAGGAGAAAGAGGCAAAGTGAGAGCACCTGGACTCAAACGCTCAGACAAAGTTGTGGGTTTTTGAATGTCACCTGAATCCCACCATGCTGGTAAAGACAGTGTGTCTGAACAATGAAAAGGTCATAAAAAATTACTATTGAGATGTAGCTGCTAAACCTTTTAAGGGTGTTTGAAACCCACTTTAAGATCTGTAAATCCTATATTTTATTTATAAAAAGAGCTTTTGTTGCATTTTTTCCATCCTTACAACAGCTGACCAGGTTTGGATCAAAGAGTTGCCCATTGAAAGAATGGTTTCTCAAATCTGAGTATGTGTTTAAAACAATATTTTAACTCTTCCTGTCTTGATAGGACTAAAAAACGATTCAGTCCAATTTTGGTAAATGGATTTTAAAGAGCAATGTGCAGGTTGAAGTTTCCACTAACGTTATACTGCAGATTTCTTGTCCGTTAATGATAATTTGAAAACTTAATGCATGGTTTTATTTGTTTCATGAGGCATAAAGGCAGAAGTTGAAATGTAAAAGGAGGCATTTTGAGTTTTTCCCCACATCACATGTGATTACAAAGTTGCTCTTTTTTGCTAATTATTGCACAATCCATGCTTTGTCATCACGGTAAATTGTTGTGTCTGTGCAGGTTGAACAAATTGCAGCCTGTCAGGTCTTTAGAGTCCACACTTTTCCTAACTTGTGTGTGTTGGCCAGTTTTGTGGGGACACTTCACAGCTGCATGTGTGACAGAAATCTTGATCCCGTGTGACCCATTTCAGGCATCAGGACAACGTTTTCTGAGATACAAGTCCTTGATGTGATGAGTCAGACTGGTAGGTTAGATGGTTTTGGTTCCATCAGTGCAATCGTTGGCAGTTCCAGAAATCAGCAGCAGCTTCTGGCACTGCTGCTGGCAGGAACAGTGGTCGCACATCCATCAGAGATTGAGCTCAATTAAAATGCAAACTGTGCTCTGTGAGTCTTCTCTTATGTTTGCAGACTTCTGCATTCGTCCCTCATGTTAGATGAGGGAGATACGACTGATACCAGCTGATCCACATGCAATAGTGACGGTTACAGTATGTTAAAGCGTCAATACTTCACTGTTAAACGGCCAATCCTAGTGGTGTTATATCCCTATAGGTGATCACAAACTGAACAGAGCCGTGATGTGACACAACGTTGGCCAACAGATGCTGGTCACTCACAGAAACACCTGTCCAGCTGTCCCTTTTGTGATGTCACAGGTTATTGGATGTACAACTCTGTTACAGAAACACCTCTGTTATTGTGCTTTGTCTTTATCTAGTAATCTGATTACTGAGCCATGGAATAACCCACGTCAAAAGAGGAAGCCATTCATCCACCTCTTGTCCGTATAATTTTAATGGAAATACCCTGAAAACCCTGTGGAGGTCTAAACTTTCAACAGGTGTCTTTTTTTAGTTTGAATGTTTCTATGAGCAGTTAATTCAGTAGTTTGTTTTATTCCTTATATTGATAATATTTTCATTTCATGCTCAACTGTAAAGCACTCTGTAAAGTTTGTTTCAACACAAGTGCTGTGAATTAATCATGAATCATCTTTTTGACGTTAATCGTTCTGGGTGTTAATGATGGTTTTTAGGCACACGTGGTAAACAGACGGGGTGAGCGCCATGAAGACTTCACTTGGCAAATGACAGCTGTTGTGATGTTGAGAGCCTCAGTGATGACGCTTAAGCTCCTGCTTTGCCATTGTTGTCACTGACAAATGAGTGATGGAAAGGTAGAAGATCCATTTTTCCCCTTCAGACAATCAACCAGTATGTCTACAAAGAGAACCTGCGGCGTTTGCTTCGTTCAGTCCTCAAGAAGAGGTGAGAGTTGTGGCAGGACAAGTCGTGGCTGCTTCACCATGACAACATGCCTGTTCACAATGTCCTGAGCATCCAACAGTTCCTGGCTGAGAAGAACAGCAACCTCCCTACTCACCCCACCTGGCTCCGAGAGATTGTTTCCTCTTCCCCAAGCTCAAGGGGGTCATCAAGGGGACCCGTTTTGAAGACGTGGACGACATCAAGATGGCTGTGATGATGGAGCTGAAGAATCCTTCCAGCAGTGCATGGCGGTGTGGCAGAGAAGGCTGGGGAAGAGGGTTAGACTCCAGGAGGATTACTTCAAAGGGAAGAACTTGTAGTTTGGATTTGAAGTATATCTTTTGTAATACCAGTCCTGAAACTTTTCTGATAATACATATAATATATAATAAATGTGTTAAAGGCAATGCATATGCATAATTCTGTCTTTATGTGTGCAGTTTTAGTCAAAAATCTCACTGATGTTTATGCATCTGACATCTGGATTCTACATTCATCCTTATGCAACTCTGTTGTATCTTAAATCAGATAAATACTCTCATCTTTACTACAGTTTGCAATACATGCTTCCTAAAAAACTCAAAAGCTGAGACAAGAGTGGCAGGCTGTTTTACAGGTAGACAGACGATGTAGTACCATAAAATACAGAACACATCAGGGAGTGGTCAAGCTCAGCCCAATAAAAGCAACATTTAAATAAAAACTGCAGGAAATACAGCACAGTACCTTGGATGAGTCAGTGCTGAACAGGACTTCTGAGAAACTTGAGTTCATGTGTGTAAATTGGTGGAGTGCTCCTTTAGATAAAGCTGGAACACCAATCACATAAAGCCTTCAGCTCCCACTGGGCCCCAGACGAGGGCCCCGAGCCCCAGGTTTATTATGTGTAAACGTCTTTTTTGCTAATTTAACGGAAAATTAGCTCCACTAAAGCACAATGTTAGCAACGATAGGAGCCTTGACACCTATTAGACGGCTCTCCCCTGCAGGAACTCGGGGCAGCTGCGAGCTGGCAGCAACATTTCCAGGAACAGTCCTGTAATCGGCTTGTTCAGCCTTTCTCCAAAATAACAAATAGTTAGCGGATGTACCTCTGCTTTGATGCAGGAAGTAG